TTTGTTTCTTAGCTTACCTATAGAAAGGCTGCCACCTGTTTAAAAAATCATAATAGGTGCGAGAAATATATATCACCATATGGGTGCCAAACGAAAGGGGTTTCAGAAAGTAGTAGTTTGAAATTATTTTGAAGAGGGTTGCCACGTGCTTGAAATGTCGAATTTAGTTTACTTATAAACAAGTTACATATATGAAGTATCAAAATATGGATGTCAAACGAAGAAGTGTTGGGAAATCATTAGTTTGAACGCTAAGAATATTTTTGAGGTGCTGGAAGAGGGTTGCCACCGGTTTAAAAAGTTAAATTCAAATTATTTAATAAGTTAAATAAATTAATAAAATATGGGTATCAATCGAATGGGACTAGAAAATTTTTTATTTCATAACAGTATTTAGCGGGGATGCCACATGTTTGAAAAATCAAGTTCCACTTAATTCATCAGTTAATTAAAATATGTCCAGCGAAGCAGAGTTAACAAGGATCGAGCTTGAAAATACTTTTGAAGAGGGCTGCCACCTGTTTGAAAGCGCTAAATCAATTAACTAATACAAAAAGTATATGAAATATAAAAATACCATAGTCATAGTCATAGAATGTTAAGAAGTCTTTAGTTTGAACACTTGGAATGTTTGAAGAGGGTTGCCACGTGTTTAAAAAATTACATTAAATTAAAAGATGGGTATCAATCGAAATGGGTTTGAAAAGGCTTTATTCCTGACCTTTATTTAGGAGGGTTGCCATTTGTTCACAATGTCAGACGAAAGACATTTAAGAAGATTTTAGTTTGAAAATACTTGTGAAAAGGAATTTCAAAAATGAAAGGTCAAATTAAAGACATTAGCCTATAGATAAGATAGTGTGATAAAGCTTTATTTTTTTGTAATTAAGAACTTTTTCATCGGTATAGAGTGGTTTTAAAATTAATGAAATTAAGAACGTGCACTCTGCGACTGCGCTTCACTGGCAGTCGGACCCCTTATAGCTCTAACTAACATTTGGAATATTTTTTAAGTTTTTAAAATTAAATTTTGGGCGTTTTAACGACATGCGGGTTCACTAGTTTAGTTTAATTTGAAAATGAAGCCCAAAGAGAACTAAATACAGTATATTTTGCTTAGCTGCACATCCTTCTTTGCACGAAAAA